GTGCTTCATTTCCAGTCATGCTGCATTTTGTTAAATTGTGTCAAATAAGTGTGAAAATATAATTGCATTATAGTAATGCCTTTATGACACATTAAATGCTAGTTATTTTTAGCTTTTCCATTTCCCACTACAGTGTCACTGAAAAAAATGACAGATTTATAATGTATGTGTTTGCACTGTTAGACTTTGTTATTAAACAAATTAAACTAGTTAAAGTGTAAAAAGTGTGTTTGTTTGGAATACAAATCCACAGGGCCAAAAGTGCCCACAATCTAGAAACTAGTTGACCTCAATAATCGACTAGTCAACCGTCATGTCTCATCCCTAATGTCCACCTCTAAATAACTGTCTTGCACAGGAACAAGGAAAGGTGGGTGTGATCTTCAATGTGGGCACAGATGACATCACCATAGATGAGCCTGCGGTCACCGTGAACGACGGCAAGTACCACGTGGTTCGCTTTACGCGTAGCGGTGGCAACGCCACCCTCCAAGTGGACAACCAGCCGGTCATCGAGCGCTTCCCATCAGGTAGGACCCCGCAGAGGACGAGGAAAGCCATTTTTGGGGGTTTGGGGGATCCCATTACACGTGTGGTTGGTAGAAATAATAGGGGCAGCTTCCCTTGGGAATGGACACATGGGGTCAGAGAGAGACACTGTATATTTTCACTCGCACATCAGAGGGACGTTGTTTGAAGCTCTCGGCCTGGATTTGGATGCATGTTGAAGGCATGCCTTATTGAAGGGTACAAATTGATTTATAATTTCAAATGTGAATTATTTGGGTTTGAAGTGCGCTGTTTTTACCATCAAACTCTTCCCAGAGAGTTTATGAGTCACCACATGCAGCGCCCAGATAACCACCGCATGCACAATCTAATAACAATTGCAAATTGACACATTTCCCCCCCAAGCTGCCTTGCCTAATACATTCAGCCCGAGATGGATTTGGATCCTTTACAGTTCTCAACTTCAGCCAGCTTTGCTCTAGGCGGGCTGAGGAAGATGTCTCTGCGCCTGTGAAGATCCTCCATCCCTGAACCGCGCGCAAACTTTGAACCACAAAACGCACTTTAATTTTTTTTTTGCATTAGCCAAAATGCCTCTCGCAGGTTGCTCTTTGAACCCCGGTGCTCTTGAGTTGTGGTATAGTCGGCGCCGTAAACCAATATTGCACAGCCTAAAACTTTTGTAACAAGCCTTGATTGATGATCCCAACCCTGCAGTAGTCATCCCATGAACCGTCCCCATCCTATACAGACATCTCCCTTTGGGGGCCCTTGGCCTTGTGTGCTTTCCAATTAGACTTGTGCAAACTCTCTCTCTCCCCACTGTGTGCTTAGGGAGCTGCCTTCCTCTCATAGTTGCTGTTCCACAGGAAGACATTTTCTCCGTCTCTAAAAGCAATCCTGTCTTTCCCATCCTCATTTTTCATTCGGTTCCTCCGATGTGCTGCTTCACAGCAGGTTAGTGCAGCGTCAAGGAGTCCTTAGCAAAAATACAGCTCTAGTCAAATAAAGCGGCGCCTCGGCTCACCTGCTACGCTCCTACCACCCCCGCGTGTGGGGTCTCGAAATTACCAGAGGTTGAATAGCGCTGCGTCCCTGCTGCTCGGGCTTGAGATTTCGTCTGATTTCTGAAAGGGAAAATTGGTTTTCTACTGCTGCGACATAGGCTTCCTATCCGCCAGGTCTCCCCCCTAAGCCCCCTCAGGTGGCCAGAGTCAGATGGGGCTGCCTTTCCAAAGCGCGGGGATAAAGCTGGGCTTCAAAGTCGTCACAGTTGTGTCATGCTTCCTTTAAAACTGAGTTATGTGCATTTAAATGGAATGGCACAGCTTTTATGTGGCACCTGTCATCCCGGGGATTTAAAAAAACGATGATATAGGTCTTGTGTGTCATCCGACACTCGCAAAGCTCACGTGTGTAAACGAAGCTGGCTGTGTATCGCTTAGATTAACGGCTTCGGTTAATTCAGTTAATTAAAACTGAGGATTAGATGAACGGATATGTTCCCCAATGGCAGATTTGCTGCTCCCTGCGGACACGGTTGCAACTGGCCGCTCGCCTCTGTATTTTGCTCAGTGCCCCATAAATAAGAATCGAGTGGAAGCCTATGAATAGCAATGCATCAGAGCGGACTTTATTGGATGGATCGGATTGTTTTTGGTTTTTTCGCCGCTTACTCATGGACGAGACCTATTTCAAGTTTTCTTTGAAGGTTCAGTGCAGAATTTGCCACACATGAGCTCTTTTAACAGGCTTATGGGAGTGGGAGGTTTGGCCCTCATTCAGGTTGCAGGGTGGGTAGGACGAACGGAAGGCTTGTATCTCACACGGCTGTCACAGAAGGAACATGACACAGTATGTGGTATGTCAAAAAAAATGCCATTAACACTTGGCGTACCAATATCTTCCTTCAAGAAAGAATACTTTTAACTGCAAAAAAAAGAAAATTCTGTAATTTCACAGTATGTGGGTCAATGGCGTGACAGTGTTATCTTTTAATTTGTTCAAAAACATTGTTCATACATGAGATGATTTGAATGCACCTCTTTACGGTGGCCAAGTAGTGCACGACACAACAAAATTAAAAAAGCAAACATAAGCTCACAACACAACAAAATTAAAAAAGCAAACATAAGCTGACAACAAATAATATATATAACTTATAATGATAATATATTATATATATATATGTTAACTCAGATATGTAAATGTACATGTATTAAAGTTGTAAAGAAAAGGTCCTTGTTTTTATGAGATTACATGTCATTGCTTTTTACATTATGATAACACCACATTATATGTTTAGAGCTTATACATTTAGATTTGAAAACGGTATAAAATCTTGAAAATGTTAACAAGTTTTAAAAATCATACTGTATGGAAACAACATAAATACAAAGAAACTGACACGTTTTCATTTAGATTTGTATCATATGTCATTGACCCATTTACTAGATTCGATGAAGAACTTACTGGAATTTTCTGGGAATGCCTCAGCCAGTGTGAAGTTGTATACGTGATGTCTGAGAGGAAATAAAACATCACTGTGTGGCAAACAACACTGACCAAACTGGTATAAATTAGTATTAGGAGGACTTGTGGATTTTGACAAGATGGTGGTTGAGAGCAGGGAAGAGAAAACAGTGATATGAGCAGATTGTTCTTTTGAGTGAGTAACAGGTCCCGAGAGTTCATTTTAGCTATAGTGAAGGGATCTGTCAGAAAACAGGAACTGTAGACTGTAGACACACGCTGTTCCTTATCTTGCAGCCATGACACCGAGTCAATTACATCTTTTTTGTCTTTTTATAATTACATGTGTCCTAATTTATGCAGGTACCTCGAGATTTTGATACTAGATGCAGCACTGATTGCATTGTTCTCACTCTGATTTCTTGCAGAGACCAGAAAATGTCTTCCGGAGCAGCTTTGACACTACCATTGTATAACTGCACATAATATGTGACATTATCACTGATATCATTGTTGTCTTATGAAATTTGATGTATTTGAAATTTCCCTCAAGTATTATTCGCTACGATGACATCACAATCAACCAGACCAAAATTAGAAGATAAACTATCACTAAATATGTCCTCAAAGCTTTCTAAACAGAATTAAACATGCTCTAATTAGTCTCAAGCTTCTAAACTGTCTAATAACTAAGAATCCACCTTAAAACCACATAACTACCAGCATAAAGCTCGTTTAGACTTCCTAACTTGCTAAACTTGATAGTCTTGTTGCCATGTTTTTAACCATGTGACGCTTGAACTTCCAGATATTAACCTCTTATCTGTCTCTCTAAATTCTTTGAAGGGAACATTGATAATGAACGGCTTGCTATAGCCAGGCAAAGAATTCCATACAGACTTGGTCGGGTAGTTGACGAGTGGCTACTCGACAAAGGTAATAAAAATGAATTAATTAAACAATGACTTAATGACTTATTAAGGCTCTGTAAGAGGTGCAGTTCCCCTAAAACCACAAAGCTTCAAGCCATTTTGAATTAAACTTCCTAAAACCAAAGCCTTTGCATTGGCATGTAGTGGGCCAAAGCAAACCGTGAATTGTGGCTGCCTACTTACAATGTAAATCCAATCGGTCCTCTCCATGTGGCTTGTGCTTTTCAGATCATGTCCTTCACAAAGTTAGAACTGCACCGCTTCAGAGATTAAGGTTTAATCTTAAACATAACCCTGACTAACCCTCTAACAACGCTCCATAACTGCAACAACTGTCTGTAAATAGTTACTTTTTTTGCTGTCTTATGTTTTCCTTCTGTGATCCCCTCTGACTTCGCTAATCTTGAAGCAAGGGTATTTAAAAACACTTTAACTATAAAATCTAGATTTATATTTTCCAATCCCAAGCAGTTAAAGGGACTATTGCTTCTTATAACACTAAAACCAGAATAACGTTTCAAAATCCCCTTTAACCCTTTGAGTGTAATGAATCAGAAAAAAAAAAAAAGTTGAACTGTGTTGAAACTTAACCGTGCTGTAATCTTTGGACCCGTGAGACATCTGTAAACAGATGAATCCTGCATGGTATTCAATTTTCCCCAAGAAACTCTTTCGGTTATTAAAGTGCAGAAATTATCTCAGACGCCTGCATCAGCACATTATCAAAGAAAATTGGGCATTAATGCTCTACTGTTATGTGTAAGTTATCAGACTTTTTGGTTGGTTGCACCTATTTCATCTATATGCAAACTTCCTTTTCTGTGCTGAGCTAACATCACATCTAAATGTTAAGTGTAAAACAAATACGCTCGCACTGTTTTTTTCAATGAAAACTGACCTTTCTAAGTCTGCATATCTTCGTTGATTAAACTTGATAACATGCAGAGTATAACGTGATCCAAAGTTCAGTTCTACATTTATCTAAAAGTCATTTTCAGACGTTTAGCTCGCCCTTGTGCATCCAACTAACATCCTTTATCGATATATAATTTTATATATATGTACGCGATGAGTATTTCCTCATAGTCTGATTTGTTTTCTGCTGTTTGATATAAATAGGGTGTTAAACTAAAGCTAATTCCGTCTTAAACCCCCCCTAAATCGAACTAACTCAGAGGGTTAAACAGTCTAAATATTAATGAAAGATATTTTCGTAACCAAATGAGAGGAAAATTGATGTCAGCCTTTGCACATTCAGATGTGATTAACAATGTCCCTTTAACATGTGTAATTATTTATCAGTTCTAATCTATAAGTAATGATAATGACACAAAGCCCTCATACATCAGTTCTGTGTCCTGTATGAATGCTACATTTTACTGAGTGACTGGTCTTTGTGTGAGAAATTTGTCTGTGCCTCGTGCTCTCTATCTCAAAGGCTCTTTGGTCTCCTCATTCTCCTCCATTAAATCTTCTAACCTCTGTCACTGGGTCTCACATTTAGACGCAAAGAAGAGATCTGTCCAACCTTGAATTATTCACAGGAAAACCTTTTTTTTTGCCTTTATGCCTGACATGCGAGGAAATTAAATCTCATTGCACATTTTTAAATAGCAGGAGTAATGCACCGAAATATGAATATTCTGTCGTTATTTATACAAATGTCTCATGTTGTTCCAAACATCCGCAGGACACAAAAGGAGAAATTTTAGTACTGTCCTGGTCGCTTTATTCCAGTGACTGAATAAAAAAATAAGAAAATAAAATGAATCATTTTATATTATAGATCATTTTTCTTTCAACAATTCTGAATCAATAAAATATCTTTAAAAAATCGTCCATACAAAGAATGTATAGGCAAAAACAGTTCTCAAATATAAATATCTTCTTAAAATATCTTATTTTATATATACAAACAACATTAGCAAATAATGATAGAATATTCATTTAAAGTTCCATGAGCTACTATCACTAAAGTGATAAAGAGAAACTGTCGTTCATACCGTTTTCTCAGTAGTACTTTACATACTGTATTATGTCAGCATATGTAACCATCTTTAATGTCATACATTAATCAGAATAATCTTTCCACTGTACGATAAAAGAACATGTGCAAGTGGAAAGTGGCCATCTGGCTTCTTCCCGCTCTTTAACGACATGCCTTTCCGAGATGATGGTCTTTTTATCTCCACTCACATGTCAAACTTGGTTATTTTCAACTGTTAAAATCGAGACCCTACTTGTGTTAAATGGCAACCCTTCATTAAGCATTAAGTGGCTCTCACAGAGGGGATAACAACTGCCCACTTCATAATCAACTGTGTCAGAGTACCTGTTCATCAGGATTAAATGGATGGCGGCAGTCCAGCTCTCAGAGGCCAAAGGAAATGGCACTTTGAGTTAACCATCCTTTTCCTCTCTAAGTAGTAATTCTGAAGGTTTTGTTGGCATTAAATTATTTCTAAAGTTTAGCCCGATTGCTTAAGATTCCCTATTATAATTCAAAACCACTTGAATCAAACCTGTAGCGCCTGTTGTAGCTTTTATAATAGTGATTTCTTGTATTTTCATGATCGTCAACTCAATGATCAATTCAACCAGTTGTGTATTCTATGTGAAATGACAACTCAGTGGAGATTCAGGGGACGAAATCCTCATTGCAGAGGCATAGTGTGTTTGTGTTCGTGTGTGTGCCCCTATGTATGTCTATTTGTGGGGCTTGAGGAGAAACTCCTCTTGCCTCGGTGACACATTAGCATTTGAGCTGGCAGATGACACTTATTCATGCAGATTAGCATCAAGAAGGCCTCTGTCTCTGAATAAAACATATCCAAAACTCTTTACATACTCATAAATATTGTTTTCCAATTCAGTTCATTATCCACAGCTCAAGCCCTACTAGTTTAATGAGGCTCAAATTATAATATACAGCCATTATTCTATAATGATAGGGGCCCTTCCATTGCTCCTCGATCTAGCCCTCATAGAGAAGCCACCTCAGGCTTCAGGATTGATCTTTGGCATCATGTTTAATACAACATTTTATCCCCTGCACTAACCAGGTCAGATACGGCTGCCATTAGAATTGGAGATTTCCATCGCCAGGTTTAAATGTTAAAAGTGTTATCAGCTGATTTAGACACATCATGTCGGTGACGCCAAAAACAGCTTGTACTGATGGTCGCTTTTTGCTTCTCTGTCTCTCCTTACTGTACTGCTCTCTCTTTCTCTATATCTCGCTCTCTTTCCATCTCCTCTCTGATCCATCACAGGTCGGCAGTTGACTATCTTCAACAGCCAGGCGGCTATAAAGGTGGGAGGTCAGGATAAGGGACGGCCGTTCCAGGGCCAGATATCAGGCCTATACTACAACGGGCTGCAAGTGCTAAAATTGGCCGCCGAGGGGGATCCGAACGTGCAGGTGACAGGAAACTTGCGTTTGGTTGGAGACGCACCCTCTGTCCTGTCTACAGAGACCACCTCGTCCACCCCTCCAGCTGCAGCGGACATGTCCACCACCATAATGGAGACCACCACCACCATGGCCACTACCACCACCCGTAGACAGCGCTCTCCCAGCCTGAAGGACAGTATTACACAGGTAAGGATGGGACGGTTGAAGGTGCATTCATCCAGAGAGACGGGCCTCTTGTTGGCCCGTCTCTCCTGAACTAGGGATTTTGTTGCGTTTATAAAGAGTTTTGTTTTACAAGATTTCCAGTTGGTATCAGCAATAAAATAGCTGACAGGTCAGACCACCCTGGGGTAAAAAATCTGTCATTTATTGCTCGAAAAAGAGCCGTCACTCTACATCTGGAAGGCCCTGAAGGACAAGAATCATAATGCTCGGATTCGCATGTGTCAGGATATATCTCCCCCACATATGCTTTTCTTTTCATTCCTCCCACACATAGTATTTTACTAGTCGCATTTCCTTTGAACGGTCCTGCAATTTTCTCAAGTCATTATTTTCTAAGCCTCGAGAAACATATTTAGAGCTGTAGCACTTTTCTTGTGAAAGCAAACACTTTAAACAAAACGGTTACATTTCTCTCCATTAGTCAGATTTCCAGTTTGACATAATTTTTTTACTCTGATTAAAGGACTTGTTTTTTTTTAGTTAAATGTGTCAGGAAAATAATATAGTTTTAATTTTTAAAGTTTGCAATGAAATTTTGAAATTTACAAATTAAATATAAAGCACCTCAATGAAAACACTTCACTGTATTCTCAATTCATAAACTTTTTATTTTTTACTTTTTTGTTAACTAGAAAGCATTATAGCATATTCAAGACTACCACAAATCATTCTCACAATTTCAGTAGTGCAACATTGGCATATTGCTAAAAAATATTCAACATGGCATTGATTTCAATAGTACAATATTAGCAATTTATCCTTCACAGGATAAAATCCCAACTGATTCAGAAAACTCTATTATTTTACTGTACAATTTATTGTATATTTATCAGGAAAAGTATATGTTTTCATTTTATATTGTTGAAAATGCACCATAAATGTATATTTTAAATTTGCAATTTGATTGAGGTTAATATGAGGTTAGTGTGTGTGTGTGTGTGTGTGTGTGTGTGTGTGTGTGTGTGTGGCAACTCAAAAAAACAACAACTTCAATTTACTCTGAAGTCACTATTATATACACACACTACACTCTAAAAAATGCTGGGTTAAATACAACCCAGTGCTGGGTAACATAGGGACAAACCCAGACATTTAGCCCAACCTTCTGGGTAGTAACCCAACCGCTGGGTCAAAACAACCCAATTGCTGGGTTTGTCCCTATTTTACCCAGCACTGGGTTGTATTTAACCCAGCATTTTTTAGAGTGTAGTGTGTGTATATAATAGTGACTTCAGAGTAAATTGAAGTTGTTGTTTTTTTGAGTTGCCACACACACACACACACACACACACACACACACACACACACACACACACACACACACACACACACACACACACACACACACACACACACACCACACAC